AGTAAAATAATCCTTTAAAAGGGACGTAAAATATTTAATTAAAAAAGTAATATAATGAACACTATGACAGACACAATTGAGATCTACAATATACACACACGCATGAATGCAAAGTAATTTGTAAATCTAAGGAACCCTAATAAAAATTTATTGAATTGAAAACTGCACAATGCCAATAAGGTTAAGAATTCTATAATTAAAAAAGGATGAGAAGGTAACTAATATTTATATATCTCTATAGTAGATTTTTGTGTGTTGAACTTTAAAAAAAATTTGTATATTATGCTACCCTTTTAGGGTCAGTTGAGTCCTCCAAAACTGGTTCTGAGTTTTTTCAAAATTCTTTTTGACACCGAATAATTGCTTTTAAACACTCGTGGAAACATTTACTAATCGTTCTTCCGGATCTCTTAAAACTGAAACTAATCACCTTGTTCTTAACATGATGTGCTAGGATGTGCAAATACATTGCAAGCATCTCCACAACATATACATTTCTTATGCTTGTCAAACCTCCTTTCTCACATAGAAGCTTGCATAAAATTCTAAACGTTTCTCTATTCATTCTTAATTGCGCCACACACTTGATATCACTCTCGTAAACCAAATCATACAAGTGACCTAATTGTTGATAAACCCTTATAACTATATTTGGACTTTGTATCCTTCATTCATAATAAATAGAAATATAGGTACACATAACAGCACACACAGTCATAATCATTTGTAACATCATAACTATCTCTTTTATCACTACAACCACTCTCTTCTTCCGTACTAAAAGTCTAGACATGATCACTCTACATTATCAACATATAAAATTAGATTTAGTATTACATTGTATATTATAAAAAAGAACAACAATAGACATAACACAATAATCAAATTATAAGAAAAAAAGAAAAAAAAAAAAAACTAGAGTACATTGGTATTGTTCTCTTTACATTTTTGTCTTATGTATGGGCTTATCTGATTTAGAAGGCCTCGTTCCAATTAAAATTATTTTTTCAACTGTCCCAGACCATTGTTATTTCAGTTGAGTGTAGGAGATGGTATTTGACGTTGCTAACAAACCTCCTATTACTGTTCATTTGGGTCAAATTTAAGATAATATTCTGCGTCAGTATTATCGTTTATTTGGGCATCATGTCTATTCCTTACCCACTAACTAAAGCAAAACAAAAACAAAAATAAAGGATGAATTAATGTCCTACCTTATCAACGTGTTCAACCCAAAAAAAAAAAAAAAAAAAAGCAAAACAAAAACAAAAATAAAGGATGAATTAATGTCCTACTTGTAAATTGAAGAACTGGCCGGCAGAAGAGAAGAAGAGGAGATGGTAAATGGCTGATAGAGAAAGAGGAAAGTAAACCCTAAAGAGTTAAATAAAGGAGAAAAATTAAGGATAAATTCGTAACTTTGCATTTAATATCAGGAATGGGAGTGGCAATCCGGTGGGGGGTGGGGGGAGTGTCAATCCCATTCCTTAACCCCAAATTGGTGTGAGACCCACATATTTTTACTCTCATTTCAGGATATAAATAGGTAAGTAAACATAGAGTTGATTCTGAATCTCAATTCCCATTCCCTATTCCTAATTAGTAAACATGCCATAAATACGCCGAATAAGGCTTATTTTTTCCCCGTTTTGCACTCATTGAGTATTTTAGGGATATTACTTTTATGGTTAATTTTTTCTTTTTTAATTCTGGTTTTTCATTAAAATTTATATATTTACTTTCGATTTTTGTACGGATTTGATTTATTTGTATTCAATCACTTTTAATTCATGCTAGCTGATATGTTTTTTTCTTGGTTTTGCTTTTCCCTCTTCTTTTCATTTTTGAATTCAGCCATTTCAGATGAGTCTATTTCACGTCTGGGTTAATTAAAGGCCATTTTCCACTGTTGCCGATTTGTGTCTCAACCAATTTCATCCTTTTCCATTTCTGGGTTGTATTACGATATCTTCAGCTTTTGGTTTATACACTTTGAAGCCAGGAAAACGTGTGGGTTGTTGTGTGAGAGCTATAGGTACGTTTAAAATTCGTTTTAAAATGATTTTATTTTTTATATGCAAATAAAAATGAAAACGCTTTTAATCTCAAACAGAAATCATTTTTGAAAATTCATTTAGTAGTTTTATCAAGATATTATTTTTAGTATAAAAAAATCCATTAATGTCTTCTTCTCTTTCTCTACTCGAGAGAGGAGAAAACGGAAACAAAAAATGAAAAACGACTAAGGGCCTGTTTGTTTGTGTTTTCATTTTCGTTTTTCACGGTTTTCAAAGCAAAAAAATGAAAATGAGTGTTAAAAACGTGTTTGGTGCAAATTTTTTTAAAAAAACAAAACCAAAAACGTTTGTCTTTTTGTGGAAATCAGAAAACAAAAAAAATGTGTTTTCATTTTCTCGTTTTCGTTTTCTGTTTTCTGAAAACGGATTTCACTTTTTTTTTTTTTCATTTTCTTCCCTCTTTTCTAAACCGTTTTTGTATTATATATGTTTATTTAATATATTTATTTA